ATCGAATATGGGCGACCGACATCGACGCATTCATGGACGGGAAAGACGTGCGGGACACGAACATCACGCGCGCTGCAGCTACGGCAGCAGCGGCGGCGGCAGCGGCGGCGTCAGGTGCGCTGCCCGTATCTCATGACGTCATGGGCGCCTCGCTGGAGTTCGTCAACTTCGGCGTGGCGCTGCTGCTGACGTCCGTGCGCTACCCGTCCGTCTTCTGGTCGTCGAACAAGGCGTTCAGCCTCATGTTCTCGTCGTTCCTCGTGCTCAGCGCCACCTACCAGGCGATCTCGTTCTGCGGCTTCTGCATTCTGCACAAGATCCACGTGTTCGGCGTGCGCAACGTGCTCGACGACCGCCCCCTGCTGCTCAACACGCCGCAGAACGTGTTCGCCTACCTGCTCGTCAGCGCGCTCGTCTTCTTCTCGCCGGCGATCCCCTTCTGGTACGGCGTCGTCAAGTACAACCACAGCCTGGCGCGGCAGCGCGAGAAGCACTGCGTCTACCGCAACGCGACGAGCAAGTTCCACGTCTACCGGCCGCACCTGTGCGCAATGGCGACGCTCATACTCACCGCCGCCTGCAAGGCGCCGCTCGTGTACGACGCGCTCGTCTTCTACTCGAAGATTCCGTCGTACGTCGTCGGCATGGCGATCAGCGTCGACATCTGCTACCTGATGCTCTGGATTCTGCTCTGGTTCGTTCTGACCGTCAAGCGCACGTGGACGTTCCGCATCGAGTTCGCCGAGATGGCGAAGAAGTCTCCCAACTCGCTCATCAGCGGCCGCAGCATCGAGAAGACGAACCTGCTCGTGTTGGAGGCGCCCGACTACCGCGATCCGGCGAAGAAGAGCCTGCTGAATCTGCTGCACGTGCAGAAGGCGCCCGCCAACAACAACGACAACTGGAAGCACTCGCTGAAGCGCGGACGCGGCAGCATCGGCAGCGCCAAGAAGTACCGCATCTCGCTGCACGACGACGACGACGCCGACGCGAGGTCGCGTGCGACGCCGACGGGCGAGCACACAACGCGCGGCATCAACATCAGCGGTCCGATCCGCTCCGTGTTCGACACCGTGCCTCTAGCGCCGATGATCCCTCACAGCTTCCCGTCGACGCCGTCCCCGGAGGAGGTGCCTCCACCCACTGATGAGGAGAATGAGGAGGAAGTCGCCGCAGCTGCTATGCCCAACGGCTGGGGAAGCGAGTGCGAGAATCTCCTGCGACAGGTCAGCCGCGGCCACTACACGCCCAATGTATCGAACATGAAGAATCTCGGTCGCGCAAGAGATCCGACCTTCGCCACCCATGCCGACGACGACTACGACGACGTATTTCGCGTGAGCCGCACCAGCAGTCAGCCGTTTCTCGGCCCCGAGCAGCAGCAGCGGCGGGCGCGGCCGGAGGCGTGCGGCACCGTGCGCAAGCCGCGCCCGCGCGTGCCCAACTACGCGCGCAGAAGCCAGACGCTGCACTACGGGCGCAGCAAGCACCGGCCGCCCGTGCCGCCGACCCTCAATAGCGCCGTCGAGATGCTGCGACAGTGCCAGTTTCAGAACGCCTTCTACTACGTGCCCGACACGGCGCCGGTGACGAGGACCGAGCTGAGTGGAAGCGGCGGCGGCGGCAGCGGCTACGGAGACGACGCCCACATCTACGACCGCAGCACGAACATGCGCATGACGTCGTTCACGGACAAGCCCGACTTTCCGCACGGCGACGACGGACAGTTCCCGAATCCGCCCGACGATCACGTGTTCAGCGATCCCGACTACACGGAGATACCCGAAGAGACACCGGAAACAATCGAGGATGGACAGGAGCAGCAAGGGGAAGAAGAGGAGGAGGATGATGAGGGGGAGGGCGAGGAGGCCGAGGATGAACTGGAGGGGGAAGACGAGGAAGGAGAGGATCAAGAAGAGCAGACGCCACCAAACATGCGGCGCCAGAGAAGAGACTCGGCAAATTACTCGTTGACTGACTCGAATGGTAATGATGACTCAGATCATTACAACTACAGCAACGGTCAGGCGTATAACAATATGCAATACGCATATCCGCAAAAGATGGCGAAACAAGAGCCATCTAAAAGTGACTTTAATGACAGTGACTATCGGCGATTGAATGGCTACAACGTTTCAAATGTCTATCCACAACGCAGTTCGGGTAGTACTACTGCCGACGACATAGCATATGCCTACAGATACAGTGACTGTGGGATGTAGCTTCACGTGTGTGTTGGACACCTGATTTTATCCTTTGTGCATTGGCACATATTAGGGGCCAAACACAGTATCTAAACAGTATTCTTTCCGTGCATGCTACCTAGTCAGCCACACTGCATGCAGTAAAGCTTGGACTGAGAAGGGGAATTTTATATAGCCCATAGAAAGTGGTTTACTGCATACGAGTGCTGGCCGTGATTTTATAACCATATTGTCGCCGAGTCGAAAGGACATTGACCTATTCTTTGTAAGGTCTAGCCATATACACCTGTCTGGCAATCTAGGCAGTTTTCCTATATAGAATGCAATGGGTTTTAACTCGGCCATTGTAGCAAATAGTACAATATACGCAAGCATATAAGATAAGGAGCTAAATGTAAATAAAATGTATTTTCTGCAGCGTACACGCGACTGATCGCCTTCTTCGTTCCTAAAGACTTTTTGTGTAGGTTTGGAGTGTGTATTGTGACTTGTGGCTTGCACGACCCAACACAACGTAAAGAAAGCGTTTCTCTATTATATTAACATTTAAGAAAGTATTTAGACCTAAACTAAGAGTAAGTATTGTTGCCTAAATTAACGTCATCATTGTGTTGCTGCTATATTTAAACATAAATCGTATAGATGTCGTAATGTCTTAATTATATAGTTAGAACATAGTTGAAACGTATTTATGATTTTTGCACTATATTTAAGAAAACTATTTAATATCTGATCAACGGGACGGATAACAATGCCATCTGTCGGGTGTTTTTACTGCATTTCGTTCGCTTGATCTCAATCCTACAACAGCTCACGCGTCGATCACTCGGAATTTACGCTCAGCGTTTTTGAAGGGCATAATTATAGTCGGCTTGCATGGGGTGCGGTAGGCGAGAAATGACAAGAATTATACAGAGAACGCGAGAATGGCAGGCTCAGTCACATAGTATCGTGGTGTAGACGCGAAAAGTATGTTAAGTGATTAGGCTTTGCTAAAGACTGCTTAGTAACCTCTACTCCAATGAGCTCCGATGTCGTTTTCAGCGATTTCACGTGACGGACAAGTGACTAGAACATGCCGAACAACCGGCTGTTCAACCATGGCCGCCAAGGACAAAAAAACAGTTCCGTAAAAAATCATGATATCGAACACAATTTTCTCGACTTCGGCGAAAAGTATGAAACGTAGAAATTTACCATGCGTTCGCTGTAACCTTTCCACATAGCGGAACGTAGACGACAGGATAAGATAATAATAAAATCAAGAGTTAATAATACCTCTTATTATAGCTATTGGGTATTATTAGCTCTTGATAAACGTACAATTCCATAATAGCACGTATCGACTCAGCGCGATACGGCTAACCGAAGAACGTGTGTTGCCTTTTAGCTGCGCTGACTTCCTTCCGAAAGCGCTTTGCATCGGCGTAGCATACGCCCTTACATCACGCGCGCTCGCTCAGCGAGCTCTTCTCTCGTGTACATATAGCATAGCGTTGTCTTTGTCGGAGCTGTACTCGCTCTTGTATCTATTTATAGCAATAAACCCATAAAAAGTGTAAATTCATCCCTGCTTCGCATCTGGTTTTTTTCGACCACTCGACGCGGGGAGCATCCACTTGGGGATGACGCGCGCGATGGCATCCATTATGATGAGATTGGTTTTCAAGTTTTATTTTCGAGGCTTTTGAGCTCAACGCTGCAGCAGGAGCAGAAGCAACAATAACAGCAACAGGAGTAGTAGTGGTAGTAGGTGATGGTGGTGGTGGCGACGGCAGCAGCAGCAGCAGCAGTAGTAGTAATAGTAGTAGTAGTAGCAGCAATAGTAGCAGCATTGTCATACTAAAGCAGTAACAGCAGCAGCAGTAGAAGTGACAGCATTGGCAGCAGCAGCACCATTGGTAGCAGCAGCAGCATTATCAGTAACAGCAGCAGCAGCAGCATTGGCAGCAGCATTGGCAGCAGCAGCAGCAATGGCAGCAACAGCAGCAGCATTGGCAGCATTGGCAGCAGCAGCATTAGCAGTAACAGCAGCAGCAGCATTGGTAGCATTGGCGGCAGCAGTAGCAGCAGCATTGTGGTAGGATTGGCAGCAGCAGCAGCAACAGCAGCATTGCTAGCATTGGCAGCAGCAGCAGCAGCAGCATTAGCAGCAACAGCAGCAGCAGCAGCTCTAGTCTCGAGCCAGTTTCCTGCCCCCCGCAACATGATAGCACCCATGTCAAAGGACTCGCGTCGTCTTGGCTCGTCTTCGGCGCAGATGTGTGGGGGCAAGGGTTACACACGAGCACCACGCCGGGGACTCCGGGAGCCCCACCAAAAGTCACCATCGCAGGTTTGGAGACTCGCCAAGTCACTTATCGCCTTTTACCGCAATCCTAAACAGGGGTGGCTCCAGGAATTCGGAAAGGAAGGAGTTTGTTGTATGAAGACCGAAGGGGGAATGTGTAGGGGGACTAGCATACGTACCAACACATTTCATTTTCTTCTGAGTATTCTGTTGTAATCTTATGCATTTTGACCAATTTCTGTTCTAAAGTACTGAATTCTATTTAAGCTAAGACGTTTTTACCACACATTGGGAAAAATTTGGCTGGCAGTCACAAGTGGGTATGGGGGGCCTGATCCTGTGAATCACCTTCTGATACCAACCCAGCCTACAGTGTAGTATTGCACAGTGTATATTGTCTTTATTTATTAAAAAATACGAGATGCCGTGTAATTGTTCTCCATGTCAATCGGCACGTGTTACATACATCTGCGACAGCGAGGGAGATACCACAAATCATGCATCACATTCGAACACGTTTATAATAATGATGAAAAACAATGTGATAAACGCAGCGACTTAGCGACCTTGAATCAGCTCATCGGCTAATGTCGAGATCACCTCATTGCGGTCACAACAAAAGACACCAGAACGGTGGCGATATTAAAACCTGCTGCTGCTATAGCTGGTGCATGTCAGCCATTGCCTCTCCCTCGCATACATCTTCTCTCCCGACATGTGGAATCACCGTGTGTTCCCTGTCGCTTCCGACTGCTATGAGCAGCATGCCACCCCCGCTGTCCAGACACGCCTGAACACGCTTCTCTGGCACTTGACAAGATGCAGAATCGCGTACTTTTGGTGTTGTGCCAGTGCGGAAATCTTACACCTGCAGGGTAAATTTCAGAGGAAGCTACATGAGCACAGCTAGACTCTCAATAATTTATTTTGACTACCAGTATCCTCTGTCGTTTTTTGTACCGTACAGTGTTGTAGGAGGAAAAAATAATATCAACAGCCTATTTCACTATTTTGTTCATATGCATAGCTTTTTATGGTGGATGAACCATAAACAGTAAAAATTACACAATTGCTTATTGTCAATTATATATGCTGCCACAAAAGTCTTGGTGTAATTTCAATGTCACAGTCAGAAACCTTAAAGTAAGACAAGATATGGTACAAAGAACTTTTACAATAATAAATAGTTTGCTCGAAAACAGCTTTCAAACACATTGTTCGCTGCAAATAGTGCTGAAAATTGAACCAACACAAAAAACAACAGAGTACCACTAGTGATATCATGAAAAGATTTATTCCTGGATGGCTGCATAATGCTTCACTTGTTATAAATATGAGAGAAATCTGGCCCTTGAGAACGTTAAAATACACCACATTGGATCCACTCCACCAGTCTATACAGGGAGTTCTAAATGCATCTCATTACGACCTTCATGTTAATTTAGCATAAAATCTTCAGTAAACTTCTCAGTACGTAGTCGCTTGGCACCACAAGCGCCATCTACATTCTTTAATATTATTTCAGCAAAGCAACTGTTAACTCAAATCCAAAGCAATCCATGTTTTGACAAAATGAAAGTAGGGATAGAAATATCATAATATGTACATGAACCTCTTTATACACATTTGTTAAATTCAAACACAGTATATAAGGCTCCTTTTTAAACATGTCTAAACCATGCTTAGATTTTATGGGAATAAAACAAAATCATCATGTCTGTTGCATTTTTCATGAAAACATTGTATGTGTGATACTGAAAATCTGTACAAACGTGACCTTAATAAGTTACATGCATGTATTAGTAAGTAAGCAATAAAAGTTTTAACAAGGTGTAACTTGTCAATGGCAATGCAGACGTATAATCGGCACTTATACTTTGCATTCACTGCTATTGGAGGTTCTAGATATGTTAATGTTTACCTATCAGTGACTTTCTCCTTGCTTGCCTGCAACCTGTGAAAACACAAGAATGTTGTTATTTTACTCTGCTTAAAGTTACATTGGAGAAAATCAAGACAGACAGTGAACATTTACATACATGTGCAGATACACAAAGATTACACTGTGTAAATAACACTAGCATATAATACAACAATTTAACCGATTTCAATAAAATAAAGTCTCTGTTAATTTACATGTGCAAATTATGTTAAATAGTGATAAAGCTGACACCACTTTGCACAGAATTTTGATTGCTAAAGCCCGGCGCACATTGCCAAACATTTTGCTCAAAAACATTATCGTAGCAATGTTCCATGAAATGTTCAGCAATGCGCGGTGAAAAAAGTCGCCGAACATTTGTTCCGAACAACGTTTCTGAAGATCGGAAATGTTTGATATCTCGAACATTGTTTGTCGAATGTTCGTCAATGTGCGCTGAATGTCGAACAATTCTAGGAACATTTGTAAAGTAGTAACCAATAGCAGCACGATATGTGGTCACATAATTTTTTAGCCCAATCATGCGCCGATCACGTGGCTCTTTACAACACAGCTATTAGACGGCGCCACGAGGTTGTTCGCTGCAAAATGTTCGGCAATGTGCGCTCAGCAGTTGTTCACCGCACATTGCCAGACAAAAACATTTGTTCGGACGAACATTTTTTTGGGAAAATGTTCAGCAATGTGCGCCAGGCTTAAGCAATCATTCTAAAATTGCATGATGTAAATTTTAATGGTTTTAGAGAAGTGCACCTTTTGAGTCGTGATGCTTTTTTGACACTACACAACGAGGTCAGAATGGTTTGATTTAGAAATTTATCTCACGATTAAAAGCATAAATGATTTTAACCCTAGAAAGATGACTTACCCTTTTGAAGTCACTCATGTTTGTGGTTGCTTGTGGCGATCCAACAAAGACCAGGTGATCGATGCGTGTCACTTCAGCATCACCCAAATTATTTTTAACAAAAAGCTATTGAAAGAAAACAATAGAATAATTATAATTACAACTATAGTAACCAAATTGTATCAGTGGGCAAAGTAAAGAATCAATCTGCTGATAGCTGCACACAACCTTGCTCTTAATGCAAGAAGCAATACAGTAATAACTCGTATTAAAAAAATTCATGCATACAGAAGTAACGGTTGTACACACATATCTGTGACCTGAATCTTTCATTTTTTATTGAAAATTCATTTCTACAAAGAGGTTTTTGTGCAAAGAAGTAGGTTGATCTCTCTTAATACAAGCACAAACATGAAGCAAATAAACACAGGGGGCATATAATTGATGTGCGAATTTATGTAAACCACGATATTGTAGCGAAGGGTAAAAACCTATTAAAATGCTTCATCCCAACAATGCCTGTGGAAATATTTCCATGTTTTCATTCTTGCTCTTAAGTTAAAGCTTTGTTAAATCAACTTCACTCCATATTGTAGGACACTGGTTAAAATAAGTAGCTAATTTACCAATGAATCCTCGGAACTGATTACAACATTGTATATTTCTTATATGTAAACAGATTCCGTGCATAGCTTCTTGTAGGTGACTGCCAAACAATGAACTATTTAAACTTACCGTTATGTTATTGACATTCTGAAACTTCACGAATCGTAGAGGTATTAGCTCTCCTTCCATAAGATCTTCTTCAGCTAGGCTGGAAAACAAACAGGAAATATCACTATTTATTGTGTAAAGCACTCCATACATACCAAATACTTAAACACACCAAACAATATACAAGTGGCCAGATATATATATATATATGCATGCATATATATACAAGATGCATATATATATATCTGTTCAGTAACAACACTGCTTGTTATAGTACCATGCATTATTAAATAAACATTCACACTCTTGAGTTTACAGAATAATAAACACAGCACTTACTCAATGGCTTGTACTGGTGTCATCGAGTCAGCTGAATCAAAGTCTAGGGTGCGAGTCTGGTTAACAAACATCTTAATGGTTTTAGGGCCATTCTCAGCTGGTCCCTTGATTTTTAATGAATGAAGCTTTATTGCTTGATTAAATGTGATAGCCATTATCAACTGCAAGAAAAAAGATGCATAGTTGATAAGCACCTAATACCACATAGCATGCTTGAACCAAAAATGTACAATGATCATAGGATCACTACAAATTTTAACAACAACATGATCATAGCACAGTATGTGTCAGCTTCTTTCTATGTTGCGCTTTGGTACTAGTACAAACCTGTTCATCACAGTCTGACTCCAAATACACCCCGCCACTCTGCAGGCAGTTTGCAAATGGATGATCATCTGAATCATTGAGACACTCACTGCCTGCTTTATTGATAAATGTGACAAGGTCCATCTAAAAATATTATATCATCATATCATTATAATACATTTATGGAGCCATAGTCTCCAAATATTCTACAATTAACATTGAATGCTGTCTCTCTATGTTGTTATAGAAAGTAATGAAATGCTTCTTAAATAATTTTATCAAGAGTACTCTTTTCTTTATACATTTGCACAAATTTTCATTTTATAAAGCAAATGTTCAATTCTCGTCTTTCCACAAGCACCCATGAAGATTAACTGATATTCATAAGTCACAAAGCAATGCAATCAATGTATATGTGTGTAAATTAAAAAACCTTCAATCATACATCAACACAAATTAGACCACGTACATGTCCATCAGGATATGAACTCTTATCTCCTCCTTCCTCCTGCGAAGCAACATCATCACCATACAACCTCTTGATTTTATCTTCCAAAGCTACAGGGTCAGCACCTCTCAGCATATCCAATTTAACTTTACTACGGAAGAAGATAAATGTTGGCATGGCCTGGATTCCATTCCCTGCAGCCGTTTGCTGAAAAGAACGAAAGATTTCTGGATGCTCACATAAATGCATGCAAACAAGAACACAAGAGCAAATCAACATTATTACATGGCCTAAATATTTTACTGATTATATCATACATCCACATGTAAAACACACCCACACAGAAGAAATTAACATATTAGCATGCTAATTAACATGAGTGACTATTGATTGCAATTTCAAATATTGTAATAGTTGAAATACCATTGCTTATGCTATTGCGGTAATTAAAAAACCGCTATGCACATACTTATTGCTATATGAAAAAACTACGATACTATTAATGTATTATGAAAATAGATATTATAATGTTATAACACTTGTATGGTATTATTGCTTAAAGCCTTGTTTTGGTCACATTATTTGCTAGACTGGTGCCCTGTCATTCTATTCACACACTTGTGCATACCAACATAGATGTACAAGTGCACCACGTGTCCACAATGACGGAAGTGTCAGCAATGCATTTGATCCATAGTTATGCGCAAAAACATATATTTTGCACTAAATAAACTTACCTGGTATTTTAACATTGCAACTATTAAAAACTATTGATTGATTATTGAATTATCAGCACTAATTATCACTATTTTACTTTGCCCTCGGTGTCTTGTTATTGAGCAAAATAGATTGATGCATCCTTACATTCCTACTAATCAGTTATGAAATGTGTATGGGTACAAGAAATAAGTGACAAAAATATACATACCCTGCATTGGTCCACGTCCACTTTGAGAAACACAGCTGCTGGGTATTTCCCACTCAACTCAGCAAAGATTGGAGCTATCCTCTGGCATGGTCCACACCTGTTGAAACATTCACATACATAGTTGTTATATATGTGTTGTATTACTCGGATAACTAATGCAAAAAAATATCTACGATAGTTAACTTTCATCTGCAATTGGTTGCATTCGAACATGTCGAGGTACCAACACATGAATTTGCTCTTGCAGGTAACCATCATGAGCAATCACACATCCAGTGTTTGACAAATGTGATTGCAAATTGACAAGGCCTAAGATAAAATATTGCTTGTTTCCCCTTTACCGACCGACTCGCCAAAACGCCGCTACTCGACACATTTCGTTTTGAAAAAAAATAAAATAAAATTTGTTTCGCAAAAACACATGTACACAAAACAGAAATATACAATATACATACACAGATCTTGTCAAAACAAAATAAAAAAGATTTTTCACCTACCTACCTACTCGGTACCCTGAGAGGCAAGTAGGTAAAGGGGAAACAAACAACTTTTTAAGGGTGGCCCAATACATGGAAATTACATGTACGTGGCTGTTTCACATAGCCTACATAACAGAACTACCTACTAGCACATACCTCTGCAGCGCTTCGCTCTGTAACAGGGCTATACAGTAATATTTGAGGGAATCCATAGAGGAATCTTTGTAACATTGCAAGCTATGCTGTAGCAAAATGTACAAGAAAAGAGACCCTAGGTGGCCACACAAGTGTTGGCTTGATACTGCCAAACAAATTCGAACTCAATTTTTTTAATATTTGGCAAAATTTGGCCATTTATTGACTGTAAATATTCTCACAATATTCACCTGATCCAGATAAAATACTTCAAAATAATTTCTTGTTATTATGTTATAGTAGTGTTGTCAATCGGTTGTAATTTCGTAATCGATCATCGGTTGGACCCAAGTAACCGATGATCGGTTACAATCGGTTACTCGGGGTGTTGAATGCCTGCGTGTGCGTAACGTCGTGTGCATGTACGTGTGTGCATGTATGTGCTTGTTTAGCCCTGTTTTACTGTTTGTTTTGCACTGTTTACTACTGTGTGTATAATACATGTACTGATTCTCTTCTTTTTTTTTGGATGAAATTGATTATGGATTTTGATAACCAAGCGCTTGGTTCGAGCCACTGTTCAACCGATGATCGAGTATAATCGATGATCGTGACATCACTAAGCGCTTGGTTCGAGCCACTGTTCAACCGATGATCGAGTATAATCGATGATCGTGACATCACTATGTTATAGTTATCGGATTGGCTGGAGGTACGGCAGCCGTATCTCCAATTTACGAGGCTGCAGGTACGGCAGCCCATTTGCGCATGCGTCGCTTTCCCACAAAATAATGCCGTTGGAAATTAATTTACGATTTAAGAGTTTTGATGAGCTAGAAAACACTCGGATTAAGTATGAAAATGAACATTATTGTGCCAGCTAGCCTACACCAGTTGGTTGGGATTGATTGTCGGTTCAGATGCAAAAGATTGAAAGCAAAAGGTTATACACCATAGATTAATTGGGTACTATGACATAAGATAGCCAAGCCGGTTTAGATTTGGTGTTAGGTTTAGTTAGTTAGTTCCTGTGCCTATATGGCGCATAGGGCGGTGTCTATCTCCGTTTCAGTAACGCTGAGGCCTAGCACCTGCTTTCAAAGTAAATGCTACAGTATGGGGTTAGTCCACTGGTAGCACTGTGAGTTAGCTTGCCACACTCTGTCTCAATTTAAATTTTATGGTTTTTTTGATATTTTCTTCCACATGTGGATGTTTGAACAGCGTGTGCAAAGTGGCTGTGTAAATTTCCACACGCAATTCGCATTGTTCGCTTGATTGTTTGCTTGGATGCATTGTATTTGTTTCTCAGCTCGCATATCAGGCAGCTCCAGCTCGCACATACATATATGCGAGCTGCCTGATATGCAAGCTGCGAGCTGAGAACAAAATACAATGCGTCCAAGCGAACAATCAAGCGAACAATGCGAGTTGCGTGTGGAAGGCTCCGCACACGCTTGTTCAAACTTCCACATGTGGAAGAAAAGATCAAACACGTGATATTTTCCACACGACCCAGATCGAGGGATTTTGCATCCGCACACGCTGTGAAAGTTGCTGCGCCATCGTCCACACGTGGTCGATGGCACAGCAAGTTCCACAGCAAGTGCGGCAGGCTTTAGATTTAGGGTTAATACCTATCCTAGATAGTTTTTGCAGTCACGGCGAGGCGCCGCATGAGCAAATGGACTGCCGTACCCGCAGCCTGTTATAAGATGGTAGTTTGATTCAAATTACACTGCATTTACATTTGCTTTGCTACTGTTAGTAATGCAAGTGAATCTCCACAGTACTCAGAGTCAGAGAAAACTCACTTCGAGCGAACGTGTAACTATACAATTGAATTAGGTTTTAATTCCGCAGTGGCTGGAGGTACGGCAGCCGTCGTTCGTTGAAGCCCCTTTTTGGCGTTAGGGTTAGGGTTCTAGCTCATCTAAACTCTCAAATCGTAAATTTATTTCCCAAGGCGTTATTTCGAAATCTGGCGCCACACGCCGCCATCTTTGTCTCGTTAAGTATGAAAGCGAATGGACTGCCGTACCTCCAGCCTCGAGACATTAAGGGCACGTTTGTTTGGTCGGATCCACGGATCTCAATCCGATGAATTCGTTGATCTGACTGTTTGTTTGGTCGGATCACTTAATCTCGATCCACCGAACCCGACCCTGCTAGCGAAGCGGATACGAACGAGATCCAATATGGCGGGCCGCGCCTCAGCCAATCACAGCTTGTTCTTTGTTATGAACCATCCCGTGATAGGTCACAGTGAAACGTGAACCGGTGAAAGTGAGTTTGCGTTTGTTTGGTCGGATCAGGATCACATGATCTCGATCAGACAGATTCGTCCCAAACAAACACGCCCTAAGATACAGCTGCCGTAACTGTAGCCACAGCATTTTAATTAGGCCATGTCAGTTTGTTTGAAAGTTCAAACGCAGGGAAGAAACAAATTAAAGTCCACGCTATGTAAACGCTACAGAACTGTACTGCTACTAGTATTAGTAAGTTTGTCGTACCAAAACTTGGAATCTGCACAATCTCGAGATTGTGCAGCGATTGTGCTGCCC